AGTGAATTCTGGTTAATATCTGTTTGCAGATAGTCCTTCTTTTGAAAAATAACCTTGTTTGATCAGTCTCCTATTCACTGTTCTTCTGGATACCCTGGAATAAATTTGTTCATTCCATTCCTGTCGTAAGGGGTTGCAAGACTTTTTTTTCGGCCTTGACGTGTTAACCTGATTAAAACACGGTCATCTCGGGTAGTAGTTTTTCGGTGTCTACCAGTAGACTTTCCTGGAACAACGTTTTATATAGTCTAATGACGATACTCTGCTGTTCTTGCAATGTCCGTTTGCTTCATGTCGTTCTGGACAGTCGAACAATTTGACGCCCTATAACTTCTGGCACGTGACAAGGCATGACTCTACACCAAGTACAGAAATTGTCTGAATAAAGCGTTGATCTTTTCGATAAAAGATTATACCAAATGCACATCATTTTATACAAAACAGGTGTGTATGTGTGTTTTAACGAACAAATGCTCAAAACAACTTATACAATTTAAACCAGAATAATAACTCGTACATGTTTGTACAGTCATACGCTATGTTCTCTGTTATCTACTCCATGCATGTAGACAATAACATCAATATAGAACAATATGTAAACATTTTGGCCAATAATTTACACGTATAATTTCACAGTTCATGTTCTCGCTTATTAAATAATGATGTTCAAACAAAGGTATTCGATACCCTTCTTTTGTTTTAAGTTCAACTTATGCGCTCAACAACTGTAATCTTTCAACGAATGATGTTGCATTTGCCATGTATGAATATCTATTTTACGTAAAGTACTTGAAACGCGTTCTCTAAGTTATCTCGTTCTTGTCCCTCGTGAAATAATATTTTACGCTAAATACGTGAAACGTTTTACTGAAACACCTGTTCTTGCCCCTAGCGATGTAATATCTTACGTTAAATACCAGCTATTTTCTCAACAAAATATATTTCTGGCCTCCGTGATCTAATATTAAACGCTAAATACCTGAATCCTTTTCTGACTCTGTATGTACTATTATTTAATACCTAATACCCGAAAACCATTCACGGAGATATCCTGCATATGAATAAAATTGATACAGAATTATGAGACAGGTTATGTTACATACAGTAGACATAAATTTATATTTTTTTAAGCAGATATCCACAGTGGTTTCTTTAATTACTCCAAGTTTTGTCTCTTTGCCTAAGGAAGCTAATTGGAAAAAAAACGATTAACTACAGAGGCTAACTGGAAGTACACGATTAATTTCCTATGGAACTATATGCATGTCAGGTAAAATCACACAGAATCCATTATTTTTCAATTGGCTATATGTATTTTCAGGATAGCACTATCAGGTAATTTTTCACTGTTTAAATATTTAAACATTTCTGCCGAACATGAGAGATAAGCTGGTCAGAATATAAATCTGTGAATGATAAATGAGAAAATTATGTACGTACAATATCATCACCTGCATAAGCATGAGAAAGACTTAGTTGTAAGATAGCATTTCATATCAATCCATTTTTTAACACTGTTTTTCCTGCTTGTTGATACAATATAGACGATGATTATTTTTCAGCTTTTGTAAGAAATTATGCAAACACTAAAACTTGAATTTAAATTCCAACGTATATAAAGTAATGTTTTTTTTTATTCAGTGGTAAAATACTTCTTTATTTTGAAGACCTACTACAGTGTAGATCAGAAAGTAAACATTTTACAAT